CCCACGGGCTTGGGAGGGCTGTCACATTTTATGCTTTTTTTGCTCTAAATTCATGACTCCTGGAGCCTTTTTTCAGAGGGAAATTAATTTTGGACTATACATGTTATTCCACCTTTCCAGCTCCAGAAAAATAAGTTGCAGTTAAGTGATAATAAATACTTTTCTAAGAACAAATCCTTATAAAATAAATTTAACCTCATTAATAATAATGGTTGCTGTTAGCATTTACTGAGCATTTAGCAGCTATGTGCCAGGCCCTGTTCTCAGAGCTTTACTTACGTTTTCTTCATGTGAGCCTCACAGCAACACTGGGAGGAGGGCACTAGCATTATGTCACTTGAAAATGAGGAAACTGAAGACAAAATCACAATCAGTCAATAAATTCGAAGTCACATGAGTAGTGGAGCTGGGACTTGATCTCTGTAATTTCTAATTCCAAAATTTACATTTTTTATTATACTAAAGCTATGCCAAATTGTTATAAAAGAAAATTTCAGATCTCTTATGATAACCCCAGATCCCTATGTATAAAAATACCAGGAAGAATATTTGCTTTTAAGTTTATTGTGAGTTTTTAAAAGAAGATGCATTATATCCTTGGGCCCCATTTTTATCACATGTAGGCTTATATTTCTGAGTTTATCTGAGTAATGCCACCATGTAAGAGTCCAAGGGGAGACATGTTGCATTTGTTAAAAAAATAAAATAAAAAGACCATTATATTAGATACATTGTCTGGATGGAATACCTCTTGGAAATTATGAAACTAATATTTTGGAGAAAATTTTGGGTGCATTTATCAAAATTTGAAGTGCACATATGCCTTGACCCAGAAATGCTACTTCTAACAATTTATTCCATAAGAAATAATTGTACAAATGCACGAAAGTTTGTTTATAAAAGTATTTCCTATAACATTGTGTATAAAGAAAACTAAGAAAGCAACTTTCAAAAATTTATTACCTACCATGTTGGTACATCCATATGATGGAATGCTGTGCAGTAGTAACAAAACATGAGCTGAACTGCAGTGATGTTAACATTTTGTTAAGTGAATAAAGCAAGGTACAGAACAACTTATAAAAGGAAAAAACTTTTAAAAAAGAATAACTTAGATTACATTTACATTTATGTAAAGGAGAAAATGTGTGTGTGCATGTGTGTGTCCGTGTGTGTGTGTGTGTGTGCACATACGGGAAGATACGCACCAGACTGTTTACAGGGATGACCTCCGAGACGGGGGCCGGCAGATGAAGGGGCAGAAACAGACTTTCCTCTCTCTGCCCACATCTGAAGTGTTCAAAGTATCTACATTAATACTTATTACTTCTATTATAAACACTATCATGCCCATTTAAAATAGCTGAAAGAATAAAGATTTATCCTTAGCTCTGTTCCATAACATGTCTTTTCAAAAATAGGCTGTTTTGCAGTTTTTAAGAACTTCTTGAGCTCAGAATGCATTTGTTCTACAGTAGTGAGCTGACCTTTCCAAAAGCACGTAATAAAATTGAATCCTCACTAAATGTTGCTGTTCTAACTTTGCTTTATTAACATTTTCAGCAATGTCTTCAATGATCAGAAATCAAGAAAAGAGGATACAGAAAGTGAAAGACCAAGAAAAAATGTTACTAAAATAATACATTGCTTGCCTAACCTTTACAGAGAGATGATGCCCAATTAATTGTGGTGTTATTTATAATTAGTGCCCCGTGAACTTTTTTCTTTTTATGTGAAAGTTTAATAAAAGATACCCTGTCCTGTAAACTCTATTTTGAAATAAAATATTCTTGAATGCTCTCCCAGTAAAACTTCAAGCAGTATTAACTAGTTGTGCAAGTATTCATAACTTACAAGTATTAATTTGTAGTAATATGTTGGTATTATTATGTTTTTTAATATTTTTACTGGTGCTGAGGCAATAGTTATCTTTTTTCAACTTAAAAAACAACTTTCACACCCACGTGGCAGATGCAGTGTGATGCCCAGAACAGCACAAACTCTTCCGTACTGACAGGGATTCCTTTTGTGACCCTGAACTCACTGATTGGTCTGTATCAGTGAGCGTAATCGGATAACAAAACATTGGGACCCCTAATCAAAACTTTTGGAAAAAGTTTCTCTTTTATATATATTAAGAACTCTAAAGAAATAAAGAAAACATGTTATTCTTCAGTCAGTGGTAACTTCTTCAGATTGAATCGATTCAGTCTACCTGAATTAGCTTGTAATAAATTAGGGAGTTTTGAATGTGGAGTGCTTCCCAACACCAATAACTGATTGTGGACACCAACTGGATGTCCCACAAGTCAATTCAATTCTGACATTATCTGGAGTTAATGCCAAAGTCTACAGACTTAAGGGCTCAATCTCATGAGACTGCTCCCCACTTCAAATGCCAATCAGAAGTCCCAGGCCACCTGTACTCTTTGACTAAGAGTTGTAAATTGGGGGTTCCTACAGCCTATTCCTGCATTTCAGTAATTTGCTAGAATGAGTCATGGAACATAGTACTTTAGTTACTATTATTGGTTTATTATAAAGGAAATAAGAACAGCGAAATGTAAGAGATACACAGGGCAAGGTTTTGGGACCTGGAGTGTGACGCTCCCATGCCCTCTCAGCGTGTGCCGCCCTCTCAGCACCTCGATGTGTTCACCAACCCTAAGCTCATTAAATCTCCTTACAGTCATGAGCTGCTTAACAACAAGGATATGTTCTGAGAAATGTGTTGTTGGACGGTTTCGCCGTTGTGCAAACATGGAGTGCACTTACACACACCTAGAAGGTGCAGCCAGCTACACACGTAGGACACATGGTATAGTCTATTGTTCCTGGGCTCCAAGCCTGTACAGTATGTTACTGCACTGAGTAGTGTAGGCAAGTGTAATACAGTGGTAAGCATTCATGTATCTAAACATTAAAAAAGTATAGTAAAAATATGGAAATACAATATAAAAGATAAAAAATGGCACACCTCTATAGAGCACTTCACCATGGATGGAGCTTGCAAGACTAGAAGTTGCTCTGGGTGGGTGAGTGAGCGGTGAGTGATGGGAAGGGCTAGGCGGGTCAGCAGAGTACATTGAAGACTTTATAAACACCGTCCACTAAGTCTACACTAAATTTATAAAACAGCATGAGATTAAATCAAGCGCAAGAAAAAAATGAGGCAACCCAGAGAATTTGGTAAGCACAAGATGAGGCTGCTGCCAATGCAACAGTGCATACTGTTTTATAGCAAACTTTTTTTAATAAGTAGAAAGAGTACACTCTAAAATGATGATAAAAAGTGTAGCATAGGTAATATATAAACTAGTAACATACTCGTTTATTATCAAGTATATACTGTACATAATTGTATGTGCTATGCTTTCATACGATTGGCAGCACAGTAGGTTCACACCAGCATCACCACAGACGCCTGAGTAATGCTCTGGTTGGGATGGCTACCACCTCACTCTGTGATAGGAATATTTCAGCTCCGTCATAATCTAATTCAGTCCTTTGGACCATGGTCGACCGAATAATCCTTATTGGGCGCTTCACTGTTTTCAAGAGTTTTAAGAGCGTAGTCTCCTGTCCTCCCCGCCTTCCCAGAGATTGGTAGGTGGGCCTGAAAGTTCCAAACCTTTAACCACTGGGTCTTTCTGGTGAGCAGCTCGATCCCAGGGCTTTACAGGGGCTCCACCGGAAACCTCCTCGTTAGCATAAACTGTGGTGTGATCTAAAGGGCCTCGTTATGAGTAACAAAAGTACTCCCATCTCTCCGGAAATTCCAAGAGTTTGAGGAGCTCAGGGCCAGGAACCTGGGACAATGACCAAATGTATTTATTATACTGTATTATACCACATGTGTGAAACAAGCAAAACAAGACAAGAACAACATATACAAAAATGTTTCAGTGGTGCCAAAGACAATAGGGACAAGGTGACAGAAGGCTGGCTGTCCAAAAAAGTCTGCACTCCCGTCTCTGTCTCTGGCCCGGATGGCGCTGAGAAACAGCTGCCCAGCCAGGGGCTGTCTCCCAGCCCCACCTCCCCCGCACTTAATGGCACGTGGGCAGAGCCATATGCGGCACTTCTTGCCAAAAGTTTTAGTAAGCATTTATGGTTTTCCCTCACTTCATTTCCCCTTCCATGGCATTGGCTCAGAGGACAGTGAGGTCCCAGGGGGTTGCAGGACAGAAGGAACCTGGGTAACAATCCCTGCAAGAGCTGCCCTCCGGCCAGGAACACCCGCTGCTGACTGTTCAGTAAGAAATAGGCTTGTAGCTGCAGCCTTCTTCATGGGGGTATCTGACAGCAGCTGGCGTCGCCACGTGCAGTTCAGAAGATAAAGCAAGTAGGGCGTGTGGACTCCCACCAAAAAAAAGTCCTCATTTTTCTCCTCTAAATGTCAGTATTAGCACTCTAAGCACATTCCATTTTAGATAATTTTTAAATATGTAATTTAGTATTTTATATATATCTCATGTCAATTGGATTTACTGAAAGATTAATTTTTATTTTATCAGGTTATGGTAAAATGACTGATAACAGAACTCTAAAGATGTTTATTATAAATTGTTAATTATAAATTGCTTTACTTTTACCTAATAGAAATGCCTAGGCATTCGGGACAGGAACAGGAAATGCCTTCTGAAGACGTCCCTCACTGAATTAAACTCGTTATGAAGTATGTAAGAAGTATATACCAATTTAACATAAAAATGCTGTGTGAGCCAAAAAGTATCAAATATTAATTATTTTAAGCACTTTCTAACATTATTTTCAGTTGGGTTTAAGCTTTTTTCTCCAAAGAGCATCTGTAACCAAAATTAAGTAATGTTTCACCAAAAGATGTTCCACTTATTAAAAGTTATTTTAACATATAAGAATTCATTTTCAAGTACAGGCATGCATAATACCCCTCCAAAGGGACAGTTTGGAAAGAAATATTCTAAAACTTTGTCTTCAAAGGGAGAAAAACAGACTTCTCTGCCTTCTGATTTTTGCTTTCTTCTGTGTCTGTTATTAATGGAGGAAAATATTAGTATTTTATTTTACATCTAAGCTATTATGGTTCCAGGATTTAGGCAAATAATTCAGACAGTTAATAAAGATATTAAAATTCAGGTTTTATTTTGTTTTCCATTGTAATGGCAAAGGTCAAATGTTTTATTTCTTCTCAGAGCAAAGAAGATGGACTTCTGTGTCACTGCCCTTTCCAGCTTGGTTCCCCAGGATAGCTACGGAAGGAGAGGGGAGAGGCCGAAACGGCTGCTATGGGACAGCCTGTCTGTCGGTCCATACCGGGGGCAGAGATGGTTCTACAAAGGCCTCAGGAGTGTCCCTCCCCACAGTGAGGTGTGCCTCTCTGTACCTCCCAGCCCTCTAAGATCTCTCATTCAGGCCACCGGCCTCAGCACCTATTTCTGTTTCCTTTCCTCATGGGCTGCGCCTGATGTTTCTACACTAGCTTCCGATTATAAGACAAAGACACACTTGCTACCTTCAAACCATACCAGGCAGGTAAAATCAAGCTTTCCTAATCACATCTAGTAACAGATATTTTCTGATCACAGTTAACTATTTTTAAACATAATGTAGCCAAGAGAACATTTGTCCAGCTGCTTCACGAGGAATTCAGCTCTTCACATGCAGCTTGTTTCACTCCCTTGGTGTAAGGATCACCCAAAGGCTCAACCTTGAACCCTGTGCAGCTGGATTGCTTTTGTGCTCCCTGACCAGGCCACACCTGAAGCCTAGCCAAGTCACTCCCCAAGAGGACAAAGCCCTAAAGTGCAGATGGATCAGCATAAATCCATCCATCAATGCCATGGAAAAAAGGCCATGCTCATTGGAAACATTATCTGCATATATATGTCTGCACATTAGACAAAAGCCATTAGCAAATCTGAACTCAAGCTTGGAGTTATACTTCCTCCATTTTAAATTATTCAGTGTGCTCCACGACCTTAGCCTCTTCCACAGTCTGCGACGGTTTCTTCAATATTTTGCAAACTGAATCAGTGAAAACCCCAACACTTGTGAACCAATTTATCCTCACGGCCAGTTTCTAGGAACCTATTGCTGCATTCTTCCCAGCGAATCACTCCCCCATTCTCTACCACCACAAACTTCCATTCCACCACGGTATCTGCTGGCAGGGAGACAGAACGAGACCAGAACCCATCCTTGCCGTGCTGGAGGGGGATGTAAGTGTCCCATCTCCCCAGCTTCTCATGGTCTCCAGTTACTGCAATGAATTGCACACCAGTGCTTGTGATATAATGGACCTGGAACCTGACACTAACTTGCTGAGACTCTGAAGTCATAGCTCCCTCCCTTTTTGTTTTGGCATTCACTTCATGACCCCTTGCTTCCACACGAGTGTTTTTGCCATTGTCCATTCCCTGGTGTGGGCTTACCATTGAAGCCTCCAGACTGCCACCCAAACCAATGTCTCCCCAAGAGGAGTGCCTGGACACCATTTCCCAGTCCTCCTGGTCAGCTGAGTCCTGACTGTCCAACCGGGCGAGGCTCACTTCTTTACCTATGTCCATGAGCAGGTTGCTAGGTGGCAGCTTCTCGGCAAGACATGGAGCTGCTTTAGCAGGTGTCTCTTGTCCTTTTTGGAATCCCCGTTCTCCTGTACAAGATTCACGGTTTTTGTTTCTTGACGCTTCAAAGCAACCCCCAGAGTAACCAGGTGCAGATGCAGCTCTAGCTTCTGTGTCCGGAAACTGCCCAAAAGGAACATGCTGTCTTGAATTGTCACAGTCACCAGGATCTCCAGAAGGACTCCGCAGTCTCCATGCTGCGTCCTGCACATCACCAGGGCCTTTGGTCTCTGAAACCAAACATCCGTTGCTTTCTTGAAGACGCTCTATAAAACCAGAATGTAATAGGCAGTTCTCATGAGAAACAAGTAAGTTGGGCTGAGAAAAAAGTTTAGTCATTGAAGACTTTACCAGGAATCAAGCCGCCTTTCACAAAATCTATCCGAACTAAAATCAAGTACCTAATTACCTAGTTCAGACACTGAACCAATTACTGTGTGCTAAGGATAATCATGGATATCCAATAATAAAGGGCTTATCCAGGAGTGTCTAATGAAGTGGCAAGTCCTAGAGGTGAAAAGGGTACCCTGTCATGGTCCTCGACTTCCATATTCCTGGCCTTACTGGCATTCAACCTAATCAAGCGGTTGGGCTCCTACCATCAAAAAATGCTGTCCAGCCTGTGGGACAAAGGGCTGGATGGCTACCTTACCAGCCAGCAGAATCCACGGTGCTCTAAGGAACTGCCTGCAGCCCAGGGACCAGCGCTCCCCACAGCCGCTGCCGCGCCGCGAGAATACAAAGCACAGCAGCGCATCGCTGCGGGTGAGGCGGGCAGAAGAGGGCGGGTTTCTCCTTGCCAGCCCCACGTGCGTGGGGAAGCACTCCAACAAGCTGTAGGCTTTTCACATCCCCTCCCACTGTACACTTTTTTAAAATGTTCTGAAAAACACACAATCCAAGCTCTCTAAAATTTCGCTTTCCTTCTTGGTCACTTCATTAACAGCCCAAATTGCTCCCTGACAGGATCAAAATCTTTAAAGTCATGCAATCATCACAGGTGGGCTTTTGGCGGTGGGGGTGAGGGGTGGGGAAGATTGTCTTTCATTTTCTCTTTAGTGGTGGGGTTGGAAGTGAGATGGAAACAAATGTTACTCCGAATTCCCGCAATCTTTCAACCTGCAACACAAGGTCAGATAAAGAAAAATGAGCTCTCTGCTCATCCCAGACCAATGACAGGAAGGGCCATGGGGCAGGTTTTCAAGCAGCTACCCATGAACAGCATTCCACTAAAAATAAGTGCACAGATGTCGCTCTCACCGGAGGCTGGATCCAGGCAATGGAAACTAGCCCAGCGCGGACACTGCGAAGTAAGGTTTTCTGCCAGTACTTCCACATTGCCTAGCATACCCTCTCTAAAATGTAGAGATTTAAATCTAAATGTCAATTCGTAGTTGGGTCGCCGTAAGTACCCTTACTAAGTCCCCTCCCCAGAGAATAGACCACCCGACGCTGCTGCGGTGAGCATGCGCGAGGGCCGGCAGCCCAAGGGCTCCAGCGCGGCCTACTGGCCAGAGTCCACCCTGAACTTTGCCTTCCCGACAGAAGCCGCCAGAGAGCGGGAGGTGCTCACGCTTCGGGTGTTCCCGAACCCAGCTCTTCCCTGCGGTGAGGGATGGGAGGGCATGAGTCTCTGACATTGATACTGATAAAGTATCCCTGGTCGATAAGGGATTGAAGAGGGTGGCAGGGTCCCCCTAAACCTCGGCACTAGTTTCCGAAGCCTGGATGGGCGGCGCCACTGCAGGCGCTCGCACTGCACCACGCGCCGCCGAGCGGTGTTCATCCCTATTTGAGGGTTAGGGGCAGGTCCGCAGGGGCGGGCGCTGGAGACCCAGCCTAGATGGGGCGCCGCCCTAGGACGAACCGCCGAGGCTTCTCCAGGGTCTCGGTAGAGAGCGAGCAACCTGCCCAGTGCGTGCTCACCAGCGGGGGAAATACTGGGCGTGGGAGGGTTCTCCCGGGGTAGGGAAATCTGGTCGCTGGGACCGTGCCACTTGGAACGCTCCAGGCGGATACTTTCCGCCCTCGGTGAATTTCAAACCCTCGCCCCCGCCCCGCCCCGCCCCGCGGCGAACCTGCCCTCGAGACGCGGAGAGAATACCTGGTTTGGTGACCAGCTCCGGCCTGGGAGGTGCGGGGCTCAGTACGCCGCCGCCACTGGGATCGCCTCCCGCAGCCGCAGCCTTCCCAGGAGTGGCGTCCGGCTCCTGCTCCTGCTCCTGCTCCGCGTCCCCCTTCTTTCCCCTGTCGCGGAGCAGCCAGACGAAAAGCGCTCCGGCCAGACCCCCTCCGACCAGCAGGGCGGACCAGATGGCGCCCATGGCTGAGAGGCCGGAGCTGCGGGAGACGAGGGCGACAGGGCCCCGGGCTCAGGTCACGAAGGCAAAGCCACACCTACCCCGCCCGCTCCGGCCTTTTACGGTCCTGGTTGGCCCGCGCTCCCGCGAGGAGCCCAGCCCTCCGAGTCTAAAACTCAACTTTCTCAGCCCCGCCCCGGGGCTGCAGCCCCAAGCTCCGGCCGGGCGACTCGAGCGCCCTCCTTTTCCAACGTTTTCCATTTTCTACTCCTCCAGTCGCCGGGTCAGGTTCACAGGATGCCCAGTTCCACGAGTGTTTCGCACGCGTAACGAGCCCAAGTGCGCCCCGCTACCGCGCGCAAAAACCAGTCCCTCCCCACCCTATTCCTTCTCACTCTACCGCCCGCTAGGCCAGCCTTGCCTCCTCCCCACGGACACTCAGTCGCAGCGCGGCGAGCTAGAGGCGGGAGCTTCCCGGAACGCAGTCACGGGAGAGGCCGACGTGCGTCGGGGACTCGCGGGACGGCTCCGGCTGGAGCGGTAACCTGGCAGCGCGGGTGCGGCAAGCTGGGAGCTCTGCGGCTGCAGCGGGGAGAAACCTGGAGATGCCGCTGAAACTCCGTTCGGCCGCCAGTTAGGTGTGCTTTGCGCCCCCGAGCCTCCGCCTCCAGAGGATTGGACCGACAGCTGTCCCCCTATAAATGCCAGTCATCTCAACTACTTCCAGTCGTTGCTTCTTCCCCGACCTCTTTTGGGGGTGTGCAATTGTTGCAAAATGCGCGCTGTCAGTGATGGACTGGATGTTGCTCAGGGACAAACTCTTACAGATGGACTTAATAAAAACAGACACCCTCTTTGTTAAGCGCTGTTTGCCCGGTGTGTAACGTATGCATGCGATTTGAGCCTCACAAACACCACCACCCTGTGATCTAAGAATTTGCACATTTGTTCTGTTAAAAATCAAAATTCAGCCTAGTAAATGTGAAGATCTACTTGGCTTTATTAAGCAATTTATGAGTGGGGCAGCATCCCACCTAGAAAATAGAAGGGCACTCCGAGGCATCGTACAAAACGAAAGGCCTCATCGGGAGAAGGGTGGGGGAAGAGAGATATTATGGAAAGAGAAGGAAGGATTGTTTTGGAACTGGACCATCTTTTGAGGGGGAAGTGAGGGGGAGGGTTTTTGGTTTTGTTTTAATGTAGATTGCCTCTCTTTTCCATGCGGGATACAGAGGGATGTTCTTGGAAGAGGTTGAATCTGAAATTAGGTTGGGGATTAAATCTCGGTTTGGTATCAAGGGTTTTTAGCAAGAGTAAAGCCATTTGGGGCCTGTGGGTTTTTTGTTTGTTTGTTTGTTTGTTTGTTTCTTTAACACTCTCTAAATTCATTCTTCTGCTGATCTGATAGTTTAACATGCCAACTTCAAGCTAAGGATTCTGACTTTTGTATCTGCAGGGCAAGACTTTCCTTTGAACTACACACTCTTACATCCAATTGCAACGTCCACAGCTGGCAAATAGCTGCCTTGGAATAATTACTAAAATGGCTCCCTCTGGTAAAACAAATGGCTCAAATGTGCCCCATGCTTGAAGAGAGAGCAATCCTTAATGGGATGCCAGGCTCAGCCAGGGAGCTACTGGAGGGCTGGTCACAACCCCCTGCAATTATAAGGGAGTAGGGAGGTAGCAGAAGGTGGGGAGGAGACCACCAACCGGGCATTCTCAACTGGATAACAATAGACAACTCAAACCAAACTCACTCAGATATGAACTCCTGCTCTTCTTGCCCAAATCTGCTACTTGCTCTGTCTTTCTCATCTCAGGAAGTGGCAACCACATCCTTTCCCACTGCTGGAAAAAAAGAAATCAACTTAGAGTCATCCTTGACTCCCCTTTCATTCCCTCTCACAGTAGGCAGTAGCAAATTCTACCACTCTTTCCTCTAACTATATTGGGAATTCTACTTCTCTCCACAAGCAAGTGCCACCCTGGTCTGCCACCACCTGGATTATTGCTCTCACTTCTCACCGCTCCCCCTGCTTCTACCCCTGAGCCCCTCCTGGGGTTCCCATTAAAACATTCTCATAAACTGCTTCTCTGCCCAAGACCCTCCAATGGCTCTACATCTCATGGTGAAAACCTCTAGATCCTACAGAATCTGTCCCTTGTGACCTCTCTGAGCTCATATCCATCTGTCCTTCCTCCAGCTACACTGGTTTCCTGGACTAGAGCCATGCTTCCCGCAGACATCCATCCAGACATCTGTCCTCTCTCCCTCACCCTCCGCAGGTCTTGGCCCCAGTGCCACCTGCCCTGTGAGCCCCTCCTTGATAACCCGATTTTAATTATAACTTCCTGCTTCCTGTACCCTGCCCCTGCTTTATCTTTCTCCTTAGCATTTAGGGCATCACTACTAACATACCATTTAATCCCTGGATTTGTTCTGTTTGATTTCTCTTTCTTCTCTTTAGAATATAAACTACATGAAAGTAGGGTTTAATGGCCTTTGTTCTCTGCTGGATTCCCAACACCTAGAATACTCCCAGCATGTGCCTCAAAAGGTACAGGTTGAGTGAATGAATTAAAAGCTCCATGTATTCCCCATCTGGAGCACTGTGGTCACCTTCTTTACATATATTCTATGTGCATTTTTAAATACAACATAGATGTTACTTTATTGTCAAGGTTTCATATCTTAACCTATTTAAGGATTCAATAATAGACTTTTTAAAGACCTCTGAAGTTTAAAACCACTGAAACCACTGGTGTATCTCACATTAGGCAACCTTAAGATAACAAAGCCAATCTTTAAATGAGTATGAAAAGAATAAAAAGTGGTAGTGAAGCTATAGTTTTAAGAAAATGAATGTCACTCTATAAAACAGCAGTCTCTATGGACTCTGTCTTCTATGGACTCTGTTATGGAACCTGTCTTCCTAACTAATTCTTAAATTTTAAGACTATGATAGATATAATTCTTTTTAAAAAATATTTTATTTATTTTTAGACAGAGGGCAAGGGAGGGAGAAAGAGAGAGAACATCAATGTGTGGTTGCCTCTTACACGCCCCCAGCTGGGGACCTGGCCCACTGCCCAGGCATGTGCCCTGACTGGGAATCGAACCAGAGACCTTTAGGTTTACAGGCTGGAACTCCGTCCATTGACCCACACCAGCCAGGGCAAGAAACATAATTCTTAAAATTAGAATATTGAAGAAAAATTTAGATTTGTTTTATATTCTGTTGTCAAATTAAAAATTGATGCCATAGGATATCCTTCAATGCTATCAACTCTAAAGCCAATAGAATGATTTTACAAATAGGATGAAAATCCTCCATTTTCTTTTTATTTCCTTAGTTAGCTTCAGTTGCTGCTTCATTGGTCAAAGTATTTTTTATCAATATGCTAATGAATAAAATCTGAGAGAATCTCTAAAATCTTGGAATACAATCCCCACAATTCATTTCTAATTCCTAGAAGGCTCTTTTAAAAGTTTTATTGTCATCAATTGCTATTTCATTGATTAAAAATATAACCAAAAAATGACACAATTCTTCCCAACCCATTAGTATCAGATTTATCATACAACACTTTAAAAGAACATTATTTATTTGCCTTTTCTAAACGTAAATGTTGATTCATTAACTTTTTTTGTTGCTGCTTTAAAACATACTCCATTTACTACCATATTTATTAAAAGCCTATAGCCACATATTCTAAAAACATTCTTACAGCACTAATAACACTGTTTATCCCCATACAGTTGCAAAATAATGTTCTTTACCCCTACATAGAAGACCTGTGAGCCTAAGAAGGCAGATTCGGTGGGGATGAGGGAGGAAGACGGTACGTTCTGTGGGAAGGTTTATCGTTAAGGCACTAGCAAGGGGCTTTTCTAGGGGTCTGTAGTTTAAGAAGAGATGTTGCAAATTCCTCATAGACAGGTGGCAGTTACATCCATAATAGAGATTTATGTTCTGAAGCGATATTGAAAACAAGCCTAACTTCAGCCCTTCACATAATTTCAAGAAGAAAGGTTGGAAAGCTGCTTCCATGTGGCTAGTTATATTGCAATTATGTCCACTCTAATATTTTAGAGGCAATACTGTAGTGCCCGTGTTCTAATGATTATTATCCTATTAAATAGAATATAAATAGATAGGTATAGATATGGATGGATATTTTCAAGTGTTGTGTCTACGTGTGTTTATATGTGTATATAGATACAGAGATAGATACAGGTATAGATATATAGATATAGATACACATATACATGTAGACATAGATTCTTCTTCTTTAACCTCATGCAAGAAAACATCGCTCGCTCACTGCTGGTGTGGAGTGATGTGATGAGGACAAAGCAATGAAAAGCAGCTTTGTCTGCAGGGCCACAGGCCTTAGAGAGGGTGGGAAGGAAGAACTTAGGGAAGCGAGAGAACTGGGATATTTGCTTCCAAAGTCAGGCACAGAAGGTGGTGGCGAAGGGGGAACGGGGGTGTCACTCAGCAGCATTTAAAGGGTAGAGGACTGAAAAATTTGGGTTTGACATGTACGAGGCCATCGGTAACTCTGCAGTGTTTGTAGGGGTGGGAATTCAATTTCAGGAGGCTGAGGTGTAAACGTGGTAAAGGCTGTGCAGTCCATCTTTGGGTTAGTCCTTTCTCAAGAAATTTGGGACAAAAGGAAGGAAAGGAAGGAAGAAATGTTGTTTAAGAATAGAACAAGACCCAAGGAAAATTCTTTCAAACGGAGAGCAACGTGGGCATGTTTGTAGGCAGGAAAGAGCCAGTGGATATGCGAGAGGAAATACTTTCTGGGAATTCCATAAGGGAGAGGGTCAGTTCCATGGGTCAAATGTACTGGTGGAAAGGCTGGCCTCAGATGAAAAAAGGAGAGGGAACAGACATGAAAAAAAAGAGTGAATATCAGAAACATTTTGAAGTGCAAAGGAGGCAGGGAGTGTGGGTATCAGCTGAGTGAGAAAAAGGAAATAGGGTTGAGGTATTAAGGGAAGCAGAGGATGTAGGAAAGAGCCACTGGGAGAAGAGCTTGCCTGTTGGGAGACCTCTC